AAAGTCTTAAGTTTTACAGAATGCGTATTTTTTCTTTCATATTACAATACCGGTTTATCAAGATATACAAAGATACACATGTCTAAAACATCCGCAATCACACAAAACTCTGTTTTACATTAAATCTGGCATCTACAAGATGTACTACTAAAACTGAAATGACGAATCATCTTTGATGACTACGGTACGAGTACTGTAACGACGATCAAACACTGATTGTAGGATCCAGTAAAGTCGTCTTGAACAGTATAGACTGTAGCTCTTGAATAGCACCACAAAAATGATGAAAATCACCAGCACCTAAAACATGGATAGATAGTACATGTAATGCAGTAATTGCTAAAGATATTGAATTACATTATCAATCTGCTCCCCTCGAATCATGTGAACGAAAAGCACCACCAAATATGCTGAGGACATCAGCAAATCTATCACTGCAGTGAAAATGTACGGTAGAAGTGCTCGATATCGTGTAGTTTGTATTGCGATCTGCAATGTAATTTTTGGTTCTTTAGTAAGCAAAAGTTCTGCTCTTAAATGGAAAGAGGATAATAAATAATTAAAAGAAAAATACATGTATTAGTAAAGATTCTTCCACTATGTCAGGGATGCAACGAGATACTGTTTGATTTGCTCTGTGTATGATTATCACTTCTGATAAATGCTTCAAAATTTTTTACCAACTGCTTCTAATAAGAACTACAAGAGTAGTTGTTGTTAAACTTCGAAAATAACCAATCAAGATACAAGTAAGTTTAGGCTAATTTTGGACACTGCCTTGCAACCCTATATAAAAGTAAATAACAAAAATTTACCAAAGCGACTAGGTCGATGAAAAGATGAATTATTATCCAAGCTAGCAGGGCTCCGTTATTGGTACATATTCGTCGCTGTGCAATTACAGAATGTCGTTCACCGAGATTAAAGACGGACACATTGTAGGACTGACATCGCATCAGCGGATGCTCTACATCTGCAATATTGAAAATAATCTGAAATAGACTATAGTTTTGGTTGTACTTGACCTTACTTGTTCTTAGATGGCTGCCCTTACGGGTTTCCTTTTTACAGAATTCTCTTTCTATAATCTTTTCACAATTCCATGCAAGATTTATGCTGTCATGCAGCTTGAAAAAGGAAATAAATCTGCTACTTTAAAAACGTTGATATTTGGTATAACATTTCAAAATCAGTCAGGAATTCAATCTTACAATAACCTTTACCGCAAGTTGGAAAGCTTTGTGCATTACATCGGCTCAAACTATGTTTACCGTAATATGCATTTGAAGAATTCTTGCATTACAATACGTTTTCATTATGCATTTTGCAGAACAAGGTGCTGGGAACTTCATGACGTATGCTGAGATTTTTCATCCAGGGAATGCTAGTGGCAATGTGACCACAAATCTGTTCAAATAAGCTGAGATTAAACAACGGCGAAGAGCGGCTACTTATAAAGTGCTCTAGCGCGAAAGACAGATGATTATAGATCTGAAGTGCTAACGTCACCCAGCGGTCTGTGAAATGCCTTCCCTTGTTATCATCTAGAAGTTTCGAAAAATCTAATACAGCAACTACATATGGAGAACTTTAAAGCATCAAAACTTACTGGTGAGATATGCGATAATTATAGTCGCTAATTCGGCTGAGCACATCAAGACGACAGCCACCGTGACGCTGCAGCAGAACGTTTTTTCCTCGAAGGTCATCTTTTCTAAAAAAAAGTTGGATAAGGAAACATTCTGTTAACAGGTATGCAGGATTACGAAACAATGCAAATTCTAGAATAGTCAGAAACATAAAGCGGTACTCAAGCAGAAATAGAAATCAAAATGTAGAAAGGAAGTCAAGATTGATACTCTTGATAATTAAACCTTCTACTTGCCTGATTATAGAGGAAAAAGATTTCAGAACTTACATCAAAAAGAATGGCGGAAGCACGCCTTTTTGCCGACAACTTCGGGCAAAGTCAAAGAATACATATGCTCAGCTTAAATGTAAGCCTCTTCCTTGGCGAAAAATGCAAATGATAGAGTGTAATATGTTTCTGAATGGCTGAAAGAGCTGTGCAAGCACCTCGCTCCCTACAAGTTTTCTCGTTTTTCAGCCCTTAATGGACCAAAACCTAAGTTGATACTAATTGCACCGTTCAGTGAAGTGATACCTTCAAAGTCAGCAGTGTTCTTACTACTCACCATTTTATTTTCAAAAAAGCTTTGATCAGCCTATTATCTGCATTCGAAACTTGAAGTTTTACTTATTCCCGTGTCGATGAAGTATTATCAAATTTTTTCGATGTTCAAAAATGGTGATGTCTTATGTTCAG